GAAGAAGTCTCTTGGAGGAGAGACGAAACGTTTCATTAGAGAAGAACCCGTCCAGAAGACCTATACAATTTTTTTCTTTTCCATTGACGTTCCAGTCCGGTTCCAGTGGGCGTGTTTTGGGCGGTTGGTGGAGGTGGTTTTCAGGTTTTTTGTAAAAAAAAGTTAATGGGCAAAATGAGAGGTGGAAACACATTTGATGAATAACTTTTGAAATTTTCAAACTTCACAAAAATTTTGAATTAAAATTGGATGGAATCACGACTAATGTCACTGCTACTATTGAAAAAGTGGCTCCTTGAGTTGTTTTTGTAAAGGCAGCGACACAACCAGTGACTCCACCCCCTAGCCAATCAGTGACAAACAGTGTTCTGACGTCACATTTTGGTGTCAACGGGGCTGCTTGGAACCACAATGAAGTAGGTACCAAAAAAGGGYCGGTTCCATGAATCTGGCCYAATGRAAAYGGCTTGRAACCGTACCAAACCRTACCGACACTACACTAAGTGGCACTAGTGGAAAAGGGGCATTAGTACTCAAGTAGCCTCTTTACAAAATCYTGTTTTAGTCTTAATTGTGTAATTTCTTGGACAGCTTGTTTTTACTTTTATGAGGACAGCYTTTGGGGACTCTACCCATCTATTATTATACCTCACTGCTTGGCATTTACACTTAGCTACAAGTGATGAAGGTTTTTGTCTCTATAAGACATTCACATTCAACAAGTGGTGTTTGACACTCCGCACACCGCATCGTTGTGGAGAACTGAGCTCATGAACCTGTTCTGAAAAACTCTTCTAACTCACTTTGTCCATGTTTTATTTCCCACATCCCTGAAAAAAGTCTTCCCTGTCCCCCATTCTAGGAATTCTGGGAAGGATCAGCGAGCTGGGAGCCAAGTGTTCTTGGGAAGTTGTCGAGGACAATGAGCCAGAACAGCAGCCAAGGGATACCCCTGCCACCCCCACCAACACCGTACACTCATTTACATTTGAGCTAGAACTTCAGGAGCGGAGCTTTTATTAAATAAAACTCTCATTTAGATCAAAAGTTCACAGGAGATGAAAGGAAAATCTCACATCCCCCCAAAATAAAGCTGATGTTTTCAAAATCCAGCTTCGCAAAGCTCCTTTGTCATCGTCAAATCCTTATAGAGACATTAATCATAACAGACAATCACGTAAATCATTTCCCATCTGCTGTACGATGGAGCAGTGAAACCAAACTGGACAAAAACATGACGACTAGATCTGCACAAAATGACCCAAATCCACAAAACGTGCCTGTGATGAGGCTGTAACAGCTTTGAACAGCTCTGTTTGTGTGACTCTGTCTGCTGAGATGTTAGGTGATACCCGAGCGCAGAATTAGTAACAGAAGTCCTCGTGTGTCGACCTGAAACAGCTCCTCTGGATAACCGCTCTTCAGCRTGTCGGTAGATTCAAAGTCTACGGTCAGAGTTTGTGTTAAAGGACAGGAAGACGAGTGTCGCAGTTGTATTGCCTCTTGAGTTAAATGTTTATCCTCCTGCCGTAATGTCACACAGGTGCTTAATAAACGTGATTTGTCGCCTCTTGCAAGGAAAAAAACTCTCTTTTATGGAAATGACTGCTCAGAATCGATGCTTGTTGCCGTCTGTTCATGAGCGTGTTGAGTTTTAAATGAAGCGCTGTCATATTTTGCCCTATTTAACAGCGTATGAAATTGGGCCAGCCTTTGATCTCCCCCTCCTATTCCCAAACCATATAAAACCAGAGATAAGCAGCGCKCGTTCAAAGCCAGGCTCCGACCACTAAAACATGACCAAGATTAAGCGGTGTTAACAGTCGCTGCTCTCTATTCGCTGTAAATGTCACGACAATTAGAAGAAAAACGAGGGAACGTCTGCTCAACCTTGGGCCCGAGTCTCCAAACTAAACATTTACAGGTGCGATGAAAGTGGCCAGAATTTATTACGAATGTCAGAATTTAAAGTTTGGTGTCAGAGCTTGTTTATCGTCGCTGTAAGTCAGGGTGAAGCTCGGCGGTGAAGAAGACGTAAAAAGAGCAAACCTATCTGTCCGTACGCCATGCTGATGAGGCGCTCGTTCACCAGCTTGTCCGTTTTCGGGTCCCTCGGTTGCCGTTTCATGATGTCACTCTCCGCCATCTCGTASGCCAGGGAGATGGCTGGGACCTACAGGAGGAACAGGACAGGGTGAGCTCGCTTTACACCTGTACGGTAAACGTGCCGAGTGAGTCTTTGATGATGACAGTGCCAGAGACGGGTTACACCAGACATATCACTGTTAATAAAGACGCTCAGCCACCGCGCGCAGAGAGGGGAGACAGAAAGAGGGCACGGGGGAGAGGGGTGGGGGGCTACATTWCAAAGCATTCATAAAACAGGAGGGTAAAAAGGTCCCTGTAATAAAGACTGCATATTGGCTGCTTTTACCAAGTGAGCAACAAAGCAATTTCATCTGACTTAGAGACAGAAATGTCTGGGAGGTGGGGAGGATCTGCAGTGGGAGCTTGGCGTGGTTTGAAACGGAGCACGCAGCCCGTGTAGTCTGCAAATCCAGCTGGCCTGGAGTTACAATCCTTTGACCTGCAGCAGCCGAGAGACAAACCAGGTGAAAGGAAGAAGATCTGCAGAGTAGCTGAGAGTGATTGTGAGAACGCTGAGTCAGCGATCRTACAACTCACTCAGCACACGTGTGCAATTACCGTTGGTCTTTATACATTTTAAAAATGTTTAACTTTATTTCTAATGATCTTTTCAGTTTCTTACAATATTTTTCTCTTTTAAAAAGATATTTTAAATTATATTTTTTCTCATTTACTGTTTCATTTAAACAAACTGTTAAAGGTCCTGCTATGGCTACAGGCTGTACACTGTGATACACGCAGGCATCAGATTGTTTTGATCTACTGTACATTTCTTGTAGCTGTCCCTATTAAACAAACATATAAATAAATAAATAAATAAATAAATAAATAAATAAATAAATAAATAAATAAATAAATAAATAAATAAATAAATAAAAATCAGCTTTATCATATTAACGATAATTCTGTCTTCTTATGCTACTAAATGTCTTTAGCAAGCCTATTATTACTTTTACCTTTTAGCATTGTGCTTCTTTTAGCTTTTAGCATTGTGCTTCTTTTAGCTTTTAGCATTGTGCTTCTTTAACTTTTAGTTATTGTTCTACTTTTTTTTAAACAAGGATCATGCTTTTATTTGGCATTTTTTTACCTTTAGCTTCTAGCTAGTCTTTTTATACTTTCAACTAGTCTTTTGCTGACTTTAGCTTTTAGCTGTCCTTTTGCTATTTTAACTTTTAGTCAGTTTTTGGCTACTTTTAAAGGGAACATGTGCAAAATCCCATTTTTTAGCCATTAAATGCATTTTGTTGTGTACTTGGAGTCTCTAGGAGTTCAGAAAATTTGAATTTAGTCTCTCCTGGTGCTGCAAATCTATCTTTTTTTCTATTTGAGTTGTAATTTTCAAGTCGTTCAGTTTTGTTTATTTTTTGTCATTTTCTGAACTATTACGTCGCAGAATTTGCAACTGAGCAGGTCAGGAAGCTGCAGGGGACAGGATGTGAAGCACCTCATTGCAGACAGCCTCAAAACGAGTTGATGTGACACGCCCCATAAAAGGGGCGGGGCTTGTGGAGTTACAACAAGGAGGAATTCAGACCAAAGCATTGCAGTTCCACTTYATAGACCCCAAGTGAAGGATTTAAATATGAAAAAGGATTCAAAAGCGGAATGTCTACTTTAACTCAACTAATGTTTTGCCGTTTTACGCTAGCTTTTTAGGATTTTAGCTGCTCTCTTGTTACTATTATTTTTTATAATTATGCTACTTTTTGCTAGTGTTTTCTTTTATCTTTAAAACCTCAGTTTCAACTTCTCTCACAAAGTCCCTCAGCATTCAAGCTACATTTCTCAGAAAATACTTTTTATTTTTTTGGCTAAGTTTTATTTTATGTGTGTGCGCAGGCGTGTATGTGTGCGTATTTCTGACATTGCATGTTGGATGGTGCGTAGTACCAACACCTCACTAATGAAGCGTTCTTAAGCATCCCACAGATAACAAACATCTTTTTTTTTTCTCAGCCATTCATTTTCATGCTTRCTAAAAATAATCATAGTCGGCTCCACGTGCTGCTTGTCACAGCTAAATCTCAGCAGAGTCTTCGAGCCTGCAGCCAGGAGTCGAACTAAGCTGTAAACAAGCTGTTAACAGCCTTACATRGAGACATGGGAAAGCTGTCATTTTACCTGCACACTGTACTATAAACACGTTTTAGGYACTTGTCTGAAGATTTAGATACATTTTTCTTTTAGGTGTCCTTCAAAGCTATTCGTTTCAGCAGCAATTAAATCCACAGATAGCTTACTTTAAAGGCTTGGGTTTTATATGCTAATCAGAAAAAACAAATTAGCTGCTTTTTGACTTCAATCATCACTTCTTTATAGCACATTTCATCCAGTAAATAACAGACTATTTTGGTGATTCGTAACAGGTGTTATTTGTCATTTAAACAAATCTGCTGCTAAGAAACTAAAGAAGTTCATTAGTTTTGTGCCACCAAAGTAAAATCTGTTGGACTGGTTTATTAAAAATGTGATCAAGTTGTTCTTTYCTTGTTATTAACCTGCGGAGAATGAAATTAATCCACGTCTGTGTCAAATATATGCATATATCTGTGCTTTACTTGGGAAACTTTTGCAGGAGCAGACATGTGTTTTGGTGAGTGAGAACGGTAAAAATTAAAGCGACGAATACAAAAACCCTTCTGAATATTTCATTCTGTGATTCCTTTCTTCAGTAATGATGGATTACGCCCCTCAGGCAAGCAGCATGCCAGCAACTCTTTTTTTTTTTGTTGCAACTGGAAATACAAAAGGGGAGACTGGCATCTGAAAATGACGGAGCTGTGAAATGTAAATCTGTACGCGAGTGTCACCCGCTCTTTGTTCTGCCTGAACAAATGGCCGTCAAAACCAAAAGCTCATTTCACCCATTGAGAGAAAGAACAAATTAAACCAAACATTTACTCTTTTTACCTTCAGGCTCTCATATTTGACAAAATATGAGGAAAAAAAATCCCCTAATGTCACATTTTCCTTGCCCGTAGCTGCGCAACATGTTAATAATTAGCATCATTTCAGAAGGAAAAATTGCTAAAATGATCTAATGATTACAGTATAATTTGGTAAAAAGAGATAAGCGTGTCCTCAAATGTTTGTGTGAGCAATAAAATGACAATAAAGCCAGGCTGAAAGCTAAGAAAAAACTGTAACTTTTTCAAACACAAGCAAAGAAAAATACTGTGAAAACCATCCTGTACATAGGCGTAATTTGCAGGGGGGTTAGGGGGGGKTATGACCCCCACAATAATTTGATCCAGTCAATATACCCCCCCCCCCATAATAAATTATCATTTAATTTGGATAAAACAAATTACATGATATTTAATAATAGAAATAAAACAACTGATGTTCCATTTAGAGTGGATGATGTTGAGATTTGCAGTCAGTGAGGTGAAGTTTTTGGGAGTCATCATTGATGAAAAACTGACATGGAAACCTCATATAAAATACTTTAGAACAAAAATGGCAAAATCTATTGCAGTATTGTATAAAGTTAAGAAGTTCTTTAATGATAAAGCACTATTTAATCTATATAATGCAATAATTGTCCCACATATGATTTAAGGTCTGGGGAAATGCATGCAAAGAAATCACTAATCCTATTTTTTAACAAAAAAAAAGAGCCATAAGGATTATTACAAGAAAGCATTACATTACTATCACCCTTCTAATATAGTGTTTCATCCGTTAAAAATATTAAAATTTTATGAGTTGGTTGATTATAATATTCTGCAGGTTATGTATAAAACTAATAAAAACGTGTTACCTTCAAACATTCAATCTAATTTTGTTAAAAGGGAAAGCTGCCATAATTTGAAGGGATTACAAATGTTTGTTAAAATGAAAATCCTAACAAATTTAAAGGAAAGATACACTTCAGTCAAAGGTATAAGACTATGGAATAATCTGGAAAAGGATTATAAAACCGTGGGATCAATTAATTC